TGAACCAGTGATACACAGAAAGGTGAGATCAAACAATTCCTTTAAAGGAAAAAGAGGCTGTGGGATCTTAAAGCTACCCTCAAGCTTCCCCTCTCCCAATCCCAGACTAGGTATTAAGGCAATCCATTTGGAAAGGGGAAAAAATACTCGGGCGGTGTTCACAGAGGTGAGGATCCCAGTTCAAATTAAGCCCCAAGCATTATGCCTTCAATGTTTGTGAAAACAGGAATCCCAAGGCTGGGCAATCTGAGTCCTACATTCTAGGGCTCACAGACATGAAACTATGCATGTATTCAGGTAGAGTGTCTCTCCCCAACTCTTTTGGGGTTAAACACAAACCTGAGAACACAGTAACACCAGCAGCATGCATGCACTTAGGTTCCACACCCAGGCTCCCTCCCGACCCTTCTCACCTCTCTTCCTGGGGTGAATTCAAACCGAATGTCATTAAGTTCTTTTTTTGAATTCCTGTCGGGGGAAACAGAATGGACATTTCTAAGTGTTTGAAATTGCCTTGGAAATAAAAAAGCAATCAAATTAAAGACAGTTAACTATCTGGGAGCCCAGACCAGTTTAATCTAACCATAACCACGTTGCCCCTAGTTAAAATCATGCAGGATAAAAATTCGGGCATAAACAAATTCATTGAAGACATTAAGAAGGACACAATACAGAATTCATTTTGATATAACTTGGGTCTAATTCCAACTTTTAATTCCAAAGAGGAATATGCTCCATTTGAATGGGTGAAGTGAATACAAATGGAAATTCATGCTTCAACAGGTCCGCTGAGCGCTGTCAAGTCACTTCTGTCTTATGGTGAGCCGAACAGGATTTTTGAGATATGGGAGAAATTCAAGGAGTGGTTTGCCATTGGCACCCACATCTGGAGTGAATGCAAGGCTGAATGCCACATCAATGCCACATCAAAGCCCCAGGCTTCACATGGAAGCAAAATGCCACCAAGATGGCTCCAAAGGAATACACACACTAGAGACCCCACCCAGAGATCTTCCTGAGCACCCTAGCCTTGATCATGCCTCTGATTTAGTGTTTCACCATTTGGCCTAATGTGACACACAGCCCTAAGTCGTTCACCCATAGTTAGCTATCCAAGAAATGATGGGAAAAAAACTCCTGTGTTGAGGATTACTGATATTATTCTTATTGAACAGATGGGTAGGACTGAGCTTACTCATTCATTCATTCATTTAATTTCATTTAATGTATTTTATTTATGTAGTTAGTTAGTTAGTTAGTTAGTTAGTTAGTTAGTTTATTCGGTTGCTTTTCTCCCCAGGTGGCTCACAAAAGTAATAAAATTAAAAACATAATAAATTAAGCATTAAACAAATATGCCACGTGCTAATTAAAAGACAAGAATTAAATTAAAAGAAAATAGAAATTAAAAACCATCTTAACTTGGAAAAGACATTTGGGGACTCAGTTCATGATTATTGAAAGCCTGCCTGAGAAGATGGACCTTCAGCTCTCAGTGGAAGGATGAAAGGGAGGAGGCCAGCCGGATAACCATGAAACATTCACGAGAGCAGGCCCAGATTTCCGAGTTGCACGCCAAGCCCCAGGTGCTGGCCGGATTCCTATTTACAGCCTCTTGAGACCAGGCCAGGGTTGAGCAGTAACCTTATGGTTAAGCCCTGGGCACACCCATGCAATCTGCTTACCTTAACCTTAGAACGAGGCTGATGGGGACTTTAGGTTCCTCTTGTGCTGGGGCTGCTGCCGGGGCAGGAGGTACCTGAGAACAACAACAATTTTAAAAAAGAGAGGGTCACTTTTTATCAGTGAATGAAAGAGGTGATGATGGAGGTGATGGAAGATAATCCTGATTTCTTCTGCAAGGCATCTGGTGGTGCCTTAAAGACTAATGAGATTTATTTTGCATTCGCATTCCTCGACTGCATCAGACAACAACAACAGCAGCAGCATGTCATCAAGTCAACTCTGACCCTTTCCAGGAATTTCCAGGTACAGAATACTCAGAAGTACTCCACCCTTCCCATCCTCTGGAAATGTGCAGCTTGCCCAAGGCTACCCAGGCTGGCTCTTCTCTCTGGAGGCCCAGTAGGGGAATCAAACTCCCAACTTCTGGCTCTGCAGCCAGAGACCTAACCCACTGAGCTATCCAACCAGCGCAGATCATTTAAAGCTTGCGAGATGTAAAACTTGTCTGTGTTTGAAATCTCAGAAGATGGGCTTCTTGATTTTGCTGCTGCAGAATAACACGGCTATCCCTTCAGAATCTTCTGGTGATTTCAGACACCACAAAGTGGAAAATTGATGAGCGGCCACAAGACAGACCCACTGGAAAATTTCGTTGACTTCTCATGGTTCTTTATCTGCAAAATGTAACTCTATAATTTTAAGAAGAGGTGTCTGTAATCTGCGGTAAAGGACATGTATCAAATACGAAAGTTTCAAGGTTCAATTCCTGGTGTGTCCAGTTAAGGCAAGGCTGGCCTTCCAGATGCTTTCGACTCCAAATTTCCATCAAACTTTGCCCGCATGGCCAATGGTAAGGGCTTGTGAAACTTGCAGTCTAAAAGTCTCCCGAGGACCACAGTTGCACAGTCCTTAAGGTAAAAGAACAAGTTGCAAATGATGGAAAGGCCTTCATCTGCCCAAGGCTGGTGAGCTTCTGCCAGTCCTAACAGACGAAAATCCAGCCAAAGGTACAAGCAGTTGAACGTGATGTCAAGACTGCCTTTTATAGATGAACCGCATGGAAAAAGGTCCTCCCAAAATTGGTCTTTTAATCCACAGATGTGCCTGTCAAGCTGGGACAGTCATCCTAGGGAGGGCAGGAGGTGGTGGAGAAAGAAGCAGAACGAGGAACGGAGGCAGCTCCTTAGCATCTTAGGTCCTTATCGGGACCCAACCGAGTCAGCTGCTCTCTTCAGGCACCTAGCTTCCCACTGAAATCTGTGAAGCTTATGGCCGTCACACCTCTTAAAACTGCTGGAGGATCTGGGCAGACCCAGCCTGGAATTGTTCAGGTTTCGGTTCAAAATGGAAGCCAGGCCCTTGACACATTTGAATAGCTGGTCCTGCGCAGCACCAGGAAGCATCTGCAGATCCTCGGAGCCAAGCTAAGCGCTGTTTCATTCCAGCCAAGTGGAATCTGAGAAGGAGCAGAGGCCAAGGTTTGTCTTCGAAAATTAATGGGCTGTCAGGACGGGGACAGGAGCCCTGTGAGCTCAACGGGGGTTTATATATAGCTCGGCTCCACAAACCATGAACACGTTTCTAGGAAAAGCCCAGGCCCTGAAGTGTTGCTGCAGCCACAAAGGCTATGAAACCATTCCCAGGGGGCCCGTTAGAGGCCTGGCGTGAGAAGGTCTTCCTGCCCCCTTCCCAAACCCGCTGGGGCGCAGGCGGACTGGAAGAACAACCGCTTGTCTCTTTTTGAGAGAGAGGAGTCAGCGCTGTCGCCCAGCCATAAAGGGGCCGTAATTTGGCACCACCGCAGAACACGCTCCAAGATGTCTCAACACTGCGTTGACTTTGGCCCGAGCGCGCTTGGTGACAGAAAAATTCCTATTTACTTCTGGGATGTGCATAAAATGTGGGCCTGGTCTTAATATTGGGAGTGGGCAGTCCCCAAAGGTTTGGGGCCCCCAGCCACCCAACCTGCACCTCCACATGCACCCCACTTTCAGTAGGCTTCCCTCTAGTAGCCATTTCTGGTAATTACGTTGTGAAAATACATAGTTCTGACACGATACAATTTCCACCCATGAATTAATAGGATTCGAAGCCATTTGGACAGGGAGAATATAGCATAATGCTTGAAGTGGCTTATTTATTCAACGTATCATTGTCATACACACCTGCAGAGTAGGTGAGATCCTTCCTGGCTTGCAGATGGAGAGGCTAGGCTGCTCACAGTTTAAGGTGGCATCTGTTCCAGGAATCCTCTGCTTCCCATAGGCTCAAAAACCACTTAGAAAACTGGTTCCCTTTGGCTTTGCATGTTTCTTTTTCTTTAGCTATTCAGGGTTTAAGGTTTCTGGGATCTCACTATTTATGACTTGTGAGTGGGGATGGGTAGCTGGGTTATTTGTTTGTTTGTTTGTTTGTTTGACTTGTATGCTGTCCGCACTCTGCAAGAGTCTCTCTCTTTTACATGTTGTTAGTCACCCAAAGTAGTGCTTCGGCACTAGATGGGCAGGGTATAAATGGAATTAATAAAATAAATAAAATTAAAAGTCTAAGATAAGCTGCTTTGAAATAGAAAGGTGTGCTTTCTCATTTGCAGGCCCTGCAGAAAACAAGGGCCCCTGTTGTAAGAAAGTAACCCGAGGATCTGTAGCTGAAAAGCGATGAGAAAGGAAAGCCTTCGGCAGCTGTGACCTACATGACCTTCCGCTCGCGCTACTTGGGCTGCTGATGAAAAAAGTCAGATGCATGCTCCTATTGTAGGATTCAAACTCGACATGACGTGCGCTTTAAGGCACCACTTCTATCCTCAAATCTTACATTTGAAGGAAGCAGTAAGGACTGTAGAAACGGGAGGATTGTTTCATTACAATCCTCCTCTTAAAATATTTGAAGGGTTGTCACACAGACATGGTCGCAAGCTAGTTTTCTGCTGCTACAGAGGGCAGGATCTGAAGCAAGGGATCCAAATTAGGAGAAAAGAAACTCAGACTAAACATTAGGAAGAATTTCCTTGAAGAAAGAGTGGTTTGAGCGTGGAATGGACTAACTCGAACGGTGGTGGACTCTCCTTCATTCAGGGTTTTTAAACAGAAAGGGGACACCTGTCTGTCAGGGACGCTTGTGAATTTCTTGTCATGACTTTTGGTGGTCCTTCTCGATTCTCAGATCCACGTCTAAGGAAGGGTTTGAACCTCGGAAGAGATCTCAAAGCTATTTTCTTTCCTTCTAGTTCTTTGGAAGCCTCTACTCTTACCTGTGCTGCCGGAGGAGCTGCGGCGGGTGCCTGAGAAGCTGGAGGGGGAGCAGCTGGAGAAGGCTGTGCAAGTGCTTGTCCTGTTGGCTGAGGTAGTTGAGCAGGCGCCTGGGCTGGGACATTGAGCAAAGGGCCTGTGGGCTCAGCTGATGGAAAGAGCTGGGAATCAAGAGAAAGAGCGGGTTTTAGCAGGGGGAGGGGAGAAATCACCCACTCAGCATGGCATCAACCCACTCAAGACCTGCTTGCCAAAGATACTGACAAAAGGATGCATTGGTTGTTGTGGGTTTTCCAGGCTGTTTTTTGGCCATGTTCTTAAGGTTTTTCTTCCTAACGTTTTGCCAGTCTCTGTGGCTGGCATCTTCAGAGGACAGAAGCTACAACGCTGTCTGTGTCAAAGAATAGCTAATGACACCCATCAATCATGGTGACAGATCATCTCCCACTTATACACCCACAACAAAAAACACCCTGTTCACCATAATCACCCAATCTCCTGAAAAGGACAAAAGCAGATCCCACAGCTATAAATACTCAACTATCCCACAAACTGCACCAGAGCACAGAGAGAGTTCTGACTCATGTCCTCTAAAGCAGTCGTCCCCAACCTCGGGCCTCCAGATGTTCTTAGACTACAACTCCCAGAAGCCTTCACCACCACCTCTGCTGGCCAAGATTTCTGGGAGTTGAAGTCTAAGAACATCTGGAGGCCCAAGGTTGGGGACCACTGCTCTAAAGAACACGGCCAAATAGCCCGACAAACCCACAACAACTATCGGATTCCAGCCGTGAAAGCCTTTGAGAATACAAAAGGATGCATCTTTATAATTCCTGAGTGATCTAAACACCATCAGAGAGAGATCTGCCTAAAAACACAGATACTTTAATTTCCCTCACAGGCAACAAACATATTCCACATGGTAGTGTCTAGGTGCCATTCCAGACATCTCTGTAGGCTGCTCTATGGCAAAGGTGACCCTCGGGAACATTTCCCTCTAGGTTGGCCATTGCTGTATTGCCAAAAAGGGAAGCATCACCAAAACTGAGGACACGGAGATGAAGAATATCACCCAAAAAAGAAGATATTTTTGCTTTAACATTCCCCTCTAGGTTGGCCATTGCTGTATTGCCAAAAAGGAAGGGAAGCATCACCAAAACCGAGGACACGGAGGCGAAGAATATCACCCCAAAAAGAAGATATTTTGGCTTCAAGGTAACACATGGCAATTTAAGTTAATATGTTTATTATTTATGTACCGTATTTTTCGCACCATAAGACGCACTTTCCCCCCACAAAACAGGGGGGTGGAAAGTCTGTGCGTCTTATGGAGCGAAAAATACGGTACATCGTTTATGTGCTGCCTTTCTCCTCGTAGCCGACCCAAGGTGGCGCACGACTAAAACTGTACAATGATAATGGGTTTAAAAGACTATATAAAACAGTATTAAACAAACAAACGTGAATCAAGATTTATACCAAGATTAAACATCATTTTTAAAAACATTTTAAAATACTGTATCTAGATCTATTAAATGCAGAATTCCCTAGATGCCCCCGTTATTGCTTAAAAGACTGCTTGAAAAGGAATATCTTTGCCTGATGCAGGAGAGACAGAAGAGAGGGGGCCGACCTGGCTTCTTCTAATGTTTTTGAACTGTTTTTGCAATACTGGGCTATAAATGAATTTATCAAGGCAAGAGTTAATATTAGCCCACAAATGGAAACAAGAGTAAAAAATGCTGCTCAGTGACCAGGTGCCTACAATAATTCTGGCACTTTCTCAAGTGTTAAAAACAGGGGTCAGGGTCTGTCTGAAGGTCTTATAGCATACGACTAGCAACTTACCTCAGAATTCTGTAACGATTCTTTCACTCTGGGAGACTGCAAGAGAAAAACAGATGGCTCTCATTATTAGTCTGCAGCATCAGGGGAGAACCGGCAGATCCTGATGGACTGTCTCCTCAACATCTATTCTTCCTTTTCAAATCCTCTCTTTCCCCCAGCCCCCAAAACAGAACCCTGAGACACCATCTCTCCCCCACTCCCATAACACAAAGTTCCAGTGGGACGGTACCCTACTATGTTTATCTCGGTGGATTTTCGGATAAGGCAGGTGTATGGGAGGGAGCATCCCACATAAATCGCCTCTACCATGCCCGTTTCATAAAAAGGATCTGTGAAAAGTTAAAACACCTTTAGAACAGGTGTGAGGAACTGGTGGCCCTCAAGATGTCTTTCACTACTCCACTCACATTCCTTCAATGCTGGCCAACAGCTGATGTGGGGGGGTGTAAATACACACACACACACACCCATTTTAGAACAATTGTCCCACTGATGTCAATGGTTCAACTCTAGACAGAACCAAGGTCGCACTGAATCCCTTCTTTCAGAGGTTTAAAACAATGCATAGGCATAAGCTCATTACAACCCTAACAATGACCCCTAATTACAACCACCATCACCATATGGTGTCAAATCAGCTCTGATTGACTGCAACCCTTTCCAGGGTTTGCCAGGGAGAGAATACTCAGAACCGGCTTCCCATTCCCTTTTTTGGAGAGCATCCTAGGACGAGGCAGCTTGCCCAAGGCCACACAGGCCGGTTCTACTCTCAGAGAAATAGTGGAGAATTGAACTCCCAACCTCTGGCTCCACAGCCAGAGATATAACTCACTGAGCTATCCAGCCAGCTAATAATATTTCTGTGCTGTCAATTCTGATTTACAGCCATTCCAATTCTGACTTTTCAGGGTTTCCTAGGTAGAGAAAGCTCAAAGGAGTCTCCTATTCCCTTTTTCCAGGGGAACCCTGGGACTGCTGTGCAGCTTCCCCAAGGTCACACAGGCTGGCTCTACTCACAGGAGGCACAGCAGGGAATCAAATTCCCAATTAGCTCCAAAGCCAGATACCTAAACCACTGAGATACCCAACCCTTCATTTACCCCCATGTTCCAGAAAAAGAGACTGAGATGGAGAGAAAGAAGTAAGTTCACAAGGGAGGCAAAGTGATTCAAATTGGGGCTTCTTCCCTCTGTTGCTCCGCCATGATTAGGTTACACCAGCTCAGAACCAAACCCTGGGGCTAGGCTGTAAGAAATCACTGAGGATGTTCCAAAATGAACAAAAACTGCTTGAGACCCATGTATGTCAATCTAATGGGCAACCAGTGATTTTTCTGACAACAGCTGTTCTCTAAATTGCAGAGGTCGGAAGACTATGAAGCAGATAAATATTGAAGGGTGAAGGGTGTGTGCATTCATGTGCAGAGAAAGTAGTGTGCAATTTGTGTTTAATAATTAAGAACACCTTTTCCTGGCTTGTTTGGGATTCTGCTCAGTAAGCAAAAACAGCCAGCATCGTCTGTGGACGTGAAAACCAGTATTCTCCTTCAGGAGAGATATTCAGCTGCCTTTCACATAGAGCGTATCTCTAGTGATCTGTGCTTAATTTTCAGATGTATCTTCTGGCCACAGACATCCCCCTCCAAGACCAAAATAACCCGTCAACACAAAGTTTGGGGGAAGCAACTGAAGGTATTGTTCAAAATCCAGCTAATAAGCTTGATCAACAAGACAGAGAACTGATGTGCGCAACAATCACCAAGCATGCTGGGAAGAAAGTCTGATCAGACGTAGTTGTTGATCTGAACCATCTTCTCATGGAGCATTCTTGGAAACTAAATCATGGAGGATACTGGGCGGGTAAAGAAGGTGTGTCCTTTTTTTAAATCCACCAATCTTTAGAAAAGCCAGTACAGTAGGAATCCCATATCTGAGGAATCAGCATCCACAATTTCATTTAACCACAGTCTAAAAATAGTAAAAATATTCAAAGAAAAAAA